AAAAATAAGATAATATAAATTTTTACATATAAATATTTCTAATTTTGATTTATATATATATATATAATTTTTTTAATTATATTATTAAGCGGGGCGGGGGCAGGTGGGTATTAACATCCCCGCCCCCACCCCCGCCCCCGATTTTATCAATCAGGTAAAGGATTCACGTTCGCATACATAGTCATAATTCACTTGCAAAAATTATAAAAGAAATAAAGTTAAAGATTTTCTAAAATAAAAGAAAGAAACTAAAGTCCTAACTAGTCCTAACTATGCCTCGATGTCATATATCCTATCGGAGCACGTCGACTAAAGCCTAAGCCTCATCACCAACATCCTCATGCTGATGATCACTTGTAGCACAATTTAAACACATACAAAGAGCAACAAGGGAGTGAGAAACATCTCACTCAGGTTCAAGTGCAGAAATAAAGATTAGACAACACACACACACAACAAACCTTATGCAAGTCACAAACACAAATCACATATAAAAAATACACATACACAATCAGGATCACATGCACACTCATTTATCATGCAATGATGTCATGGACTCGACTCATAAATGCATGCATGTGGCGCCAATCACGTGTCTCATAATCACATATCACGTGATATGCTACCGAAGCAACATACCTAGAGTAGTCTAGGAGTACATGTTGGCTCAACCGTGCACTCTCAACTAGAAGGATGTATTGCTAGGGTCTCATCGGGATAGTGAAACCGCGAAAGATACGTCTAATGCACACAAACGGGCAGAACTGGGCCTTCCAAACCGCACTATCCCCTAGGACTCCTCCAAGATGTTTCACACTTGGAGGGCCTTCGCTAACGATGTACTCCATATCGTACCCCGTTACATAAATGCATATGATGCATGTCACACATTCAAAAACTCATGGACTCAACATTTTACTTGTTAAGAAATTTTATGACTTATCTCATTTCATCATGTTTCACATTCTCATAGTCATAGTATTCACAATAGCACGTAATTCACATCATGTCTCATGTCACTTGTTCACATTTTACATTTCTCATAATCATACTCATAAGATCATCATTTGGAGATTATTGTCATTATCTTGCTCATAAAACACATCATTTATGTTAACACAGTAATAAGGCAATTCTCACACAATTTGCACCTTCAAACAAGACATAAAACATGTAAAGCATCACAGGGGTCATGCACGACATGCCCAACTCGCGCCCGACGCATTAAATGTCGCACCTAAAGCGGAGCATTACGCCTGGTGCCCCCTGAGCGTGCCCAGGAATTTAATGCAATGCCTAAAGTGGAGAATTCCGCCCGACATAGCTTCACATGCGCTCGATGTGACTTTCCTGCACCAGGCGCAACTTTCTTGCACCCGGTGCAACTTTACTAAGCTTGGCTCAATTTTGTTGAGCCCGACTCAATTTTCCCGGGAAACTATTAATTTACACCCGACGCGAAGACAATTTTTCACAACAAACATGTAATCATATAAATCAATCGGTAAAAATCCTCCAAATAACATCTAGAACATAAATCCATACTCAATTTTACATAAAATACCTCAAATCTTGTCAAAAGATCATACCCCTAATTGTTTCTCATAGGATTTCTCACGGGAACCCACAAAGCACTCTAATTCATATCAAAATTTATCTAATTTAGAAATCGAATATATATTCATGCATCACATCCAACTAGAAACCCAACAAAAAACTCAGATATTAAAACAGAAAACTTTCATAATCTGCTTGTTCCTAGAGCATGCATCACGCAAGGGATTGGGAGTCAATCTTAATACCCAACAATTATTCTCACACCCTCGAGCGAGGTTTCTCACTCCCTCTTACCTTGATGAACAAAAGATGAAGCACAAACGGAATCGGGTTGGTTCTCTCCTTCAGGTTCTCCTTGGTCTTTAGAATCGTAGAAGGAAAATGAGTCGGGAAGAAGTGAATGCGTGGAATGACTCAGATAACTTCTAATAACCTCCCTTTTCTCAAATTAATAAAATAATAATAATAATAATAATAATAATAATAATAATAATAATTTGCAAAAGACTACTACGTCCTTCCTTCCCTTTCATTTAAAAAAAATAATAATAGTAATAATAATAATAATAATATTATTATAAACACATCTTCTCCCTTTTATAAGATAACTTAAACATAATTATTAATAATAAAATACATTTCATAAAAATAACTCCTGCTCCACTAATTAAACAAAATATAATTACAAATTGTCACAATAGAACTCATATCACTAATTAAATAATATTCAAAACTCTAAAATAAATACATTAAACGTGAAAATAATTTCTAAATTGCTATTTATTATAAGATATGAAATTCAGGGTATTACACCATCGCCTTCATCATACTGTTGTCGCATCACTACTATAGTTACTGACAATGACAATGGCAACAATGGTCAGGAACATATCAATGTTTATACTAGTGGAGGCAGTTGTCCACACTTAAATATTGTTAATTTTTTTATTTTATAAAATATTAATTATTTTATAAAATATATATTATTAATTATATTTTAATTATCCTATTATATTTGATATGATAAGATATATTAATATTTTATTTTATTATTTAATTGTTTTTATTTTGTGACAAAATTATCTTAATTTTTTATGAGAAAAAAATTCACTTATTCTAAGAGTAAGTCTTGATAGACTTATTTTACTCAATAACTAATATTTTACATTAAATTTTTAAAAATTCAGCTATTAAATTAAAAACTCTTAATGTATTCTACTCAATAATTAATGTCCTACATCAAATTTTTAAAAAATCAACAGTTACATTAAAAGTTTTTAATATATAGATCAAGTTTACAAATTTTAAAATACTTCGTTAGATGGATTCAAAAGAACATATAAAATATATATTTTTTATTATCCATCAATTTAAATTAATGAAATGAAGTATCAAATAATAATTATTTTTTTAAATTTTATAAATTTGATCTATACATTAAATACTTTTAATTGAACAGTTGAATACTTGATGTAGAACATAAATTATTGAGTGAAGTAAGTCTATATCAAAATTTACTCTTGAAATAAGTAGATCCCTCCTCATTTATTATTATTATAATATACAGTATTTTTTCACTAAAAGATTCATTACTTCTTTACTCATTAAACATGTCATTATTTAGTTTACTAATGTAGGTTGTTTTTTAATTTTTATTTTATTTTTTATCTCTATGATCATGTATATGTATATTGTGTGTTGGTAAGAGAGAATCGACATTAAGAGAAATAACAGAAATTGTCACACAATTTTTTTTTTAACTTAAACATGAGAGTAATTGTCATGCATTTTTTTTTTAACATAAACATATTTAAATAAAGAAATTTACTCTTATAAAAAAAATAGACATTGCACTTATAAAATATTTTTGGTTTTAAATGAGTGTAGAAATTTAGAAGAAACTAAAAGAAAGTAAATTAATAATTTTATTATTTTTATCCTATTAATTTTTACCATTTTATTCCTCTAATCTTAAATAAGTCACAAAAACTATAAAATGACACTTAAATATAATCTCAAAAGGAAAAATTATCACTCTATTTATAAGACAATCATAATTTATAAAAATAAGGTATTTTAAATTTTTTACCATAAAAATATATTTTCCAAAACATTATTTATATATATATCACTCTCCTATAAATATAAGTAGTACAATAGGCAATCAATCATTAAGAAATTTTATTTGTCAATAAAATCTAAAGAAAAAAATGATCAGTACATTGATCGTTGTCTTGTGTTTAATAATTGGCGGTGTTAGTCATGTAATTTATGGTATTCAAAATACACTCAAAGAAGATCTAGAGCTGGAAAAACAACTGAGGCTCATCAACAAACCTCCTGTCAAGAGTATTTATGTATTCAATAGCCTTCTTATATATCATCATATAATTCCTTTTCTTGAACTCGGTCTCACTAAGTGCTTTAAGAATTTGATATATATTTGTTGTATTTTGGATTCTACAGACAGAGTTTGGGGATATTGTTGATTGTATTGATATAAACAAGCAACCAGCGTTTGACCATCCTTTACTAAAACATCATAAGTTGCAGGTATGCACCCCTTTAAATAACCTCAAATATGGTTAACTTTAATCTTTCACTGACTATATTTCCTCTTAGTTTTAATATTTGTTTTCCATTTCTTTTTATTATAGAGAAAACCCAGCTTTGAAAAAACAAATGCGAAGACTTCACCAACTAGATCCATATTTGGGCTTGATAAGAACATATGTCCGTCAGGGACAGTGCCTATTCGGAGAACCACAAAAGATGATCTAATTCGAGAAAAATCATTATTAAATGATGATATCATGACTCAAAAAGCTCCTGGTATTCATGTAACTGCTCTTGTAAAACTAAATTTTAAATGTTCATAATTTTTTTTATATATAAATTACATCAAATCTAAGAGTTAATAGGAGGGGATTTTGTAGCTAGCAGAAGTATCTCTTAAATCGCGTTATGGTCCTTATTATGGAGTCAGTGGAAGAAATAGCATTTATAATCCAAGACTTAATAGGACAGATCAAATCTCCCTTTCAAATTTATGGGTTCAAAACGGAGAAGGAGATGCTGGTAACAAAATCTCATTTGGTTGGCATGTGAGTTTTAATTGCTACAATTTTGTTTATTTTTCAAAATATTTACACCGGAGTTATTTAATTTGTGTCAATTTGATGATACAGAAAACTATACCTAATTAATCTCACACATTGGTATCAGGTACATCCATATTTATATGGTGATGATGCAACCTATTTTTACTCGACATGGACGGTAATTAAGGAAAAATGTCATTACATTTTTTTTATATATATTTACTTGTCTCATAAACACACACTCACACACATATACAAATTCTTTTATAAAAGTAACTCTTATATTTAAAATTCGAACGGATATCTTACATTATGACTTTTTATTTGACAAAAGGATTTTTAGAAATTCTTTTAATTTCTTATTTAACTCAATTTTTATTTATTATAATTATTTATAAATTAAATTTTAATATTTTAAAAAATAAATTATTTATAAATAAAA